GTCCATTAAACGCGATGGTATTCAAGTTAAAAGTAACAAGGTGCATTTCTTTTAAACATTTCCAACACATGCTTTATTGAATGCACATTGACTACAGTTAGTAATACAATTTATGTTTCTTTAGCAACAGGGACCCTGTTTTGAAAATGACCACATATGTATATGTCTGTTAATATCTTATAATGGGCTTTATATGAAGTTCATTATGTTTGGGATATTTATTTGCGGTGATGCTTTAAATTTATTTATGAAACCGAAGTTTAATAACTCGGTGTGATATTTACTTCTTACATAACTCTTTTTTTGTACCTTGGAGGAATTCCCAAATTCATATTGGTCTCAGTTCACAAGAAAAAAGGAGAGCATAATATGAGGTTCTATCCAAATTCTCTAATTCAAGTCATTATTACATGTTCATATGCTATTTTCAGCTTATTTTCATAATAATAAGCTCTTCAAAATAGCTTATTCTATATACAGTTAGACTTATTTTCTATTTTGTTATAAAAATAGTAAAATTAGCTTATACATAAGCACTTTTCTGATAAGCACTAATTTTTATCTTGCTGTGTTTATCTCTCATTTAGTTGCATTCTCGAAATTTCACTTAAAAGCTAAAAGAATTCTAAAAGCAATAGAGAACTTCACAAAACCATTAAGCTCACTTCCTACTTCTGATCGAGGTATGTTAGTTGAGTGGTGGTCCTGCGTAAGGGTTGGTGTTGCTTATAGCATTTTTTGAGTTTGTCAGGTCACGTAGCGTGTTCTTCATTGTCAAGAATTATATTTTGTGTATAGTTTGTGTCAAGTGATATAGTTGAATATTATAGTGTAATGAGTTTAGGAAATCATGTAGTAGCAGAAGATATAATTTTTTATATGATAAGTGAAGAAATTTCACTTGTAAGAACAAGATTTGGTTCTGTAATATTATCTATGAGTTTTGATGATAACAAATGAGTATGTTTATATGAATAATTTTGATACTCTAATGTTTGATATTTTTTAGTATTTAACAAACAGGTTCTGTTTCTGATGGATGGTCTGACCAAGACATTAGAAGATAATTAATTCCGCTTCTACACTACACAAGTTCGGATGAACAGTATCAAGACACTCTAGAAGACTCTGAAGTGTATGCTTTGATGGTTGTCTAAAGATACAAGTCAGAAGATTTAGATAGATGAAGTTCTAAAAGACTCTGAGGACTTGAAGTTCTAAAGACCCATGGTTCTAAGAAAAGGGTTCTAAAAACCAAGTGCTAAAGACTCTGAAGACAGAAGTTCTAAAGACTCTAAAGACTTGAAGTTCTGAAGACCCAAGGTTCTAAGAAAAGGTTTTCACGACCAAATTCTGAAGAGTATGAAGATGCAATTTTGAAGACTCTGAAGACTTGAAGTTTTGATGATCTTGTGTTATGTTCTCGCTTCTAAAATCATGCTCACAGAAGCCTCTGAAGTGTAGAAGGAAAGAAAATAACATTAACGTGGTACAAATAGTACATGGTACAATTAACATTTCATTTCACTACCATGAAAGGACGGACGGGTTGCATGATCTTGTCCCCCACGTGATTGCTCAAGCTGCCAATGTTTCTGGAAATCCCAAGAGTACCTCTCAATGGATATATTATTTTATTGGCTATATAAAGGCTTAAAGACTAAGGGAGAAAGCTGCCAATCAACTTAATATCTATGCATAAAGCGTTGTTCATAGCTTTCATATTCTTAAGTCATTTTTCTTAAAATAGTTTACATATTCAGCTTGTGTAGAAGCAATATTATTGTAAACAAAAATTGTATTCAAATAGTTGTTTGATTTCCTTAAGGGACCGATTATGTCTGTATCCTTAAGAAGTCTAAGACTAGTGTGTCTTAGAGGTTTGATTTTCCTTAAGGGACTAGTTAGGTCTGTATCCTTAAGAAGTCTAGGACTTGTGTGTCTTAGAGGTTGTTAGTCACTTGTGAGTAGCTTGAGCATTGTAATAATCAATTGGATTATTGGATTAAGTCCTCGAGTGAGAGAGGCGAAATCACCTTGGTAGGTGGACTAGACTAGCTTGATAGTTTTCGAGTGAACTAGTATAAACATACCTTATTCTTTAATTTCGGTTCTTAATTATTATTATTATCAAAAGTGAAGGAAAAAGTATTTTAGTTAAAGGGGAATATTTTTAAAAGAAAAATTTTGATTTAAAAACCCAATTCAAACCCTTCTTTCTTGTGTTTTTCACACCTTCAATTGGCATTAGAGCTCCAGTTCTAAGAAGATAAAAAGTTTCGATTTTTATCAACACTTAACAGTGTTCAGTACCGATCCAATGTGTGTGAAAAACCAATGGCTACACCTACTTCCACTGTTGATAATAGGGATAATGATAGAGATCATTATAGTTTAAAACCTCCTATGTTTGATGAGGATAGATTTGACTATTGGAAGGATAAAATCAAAAGTTACTTTCTGGCATATGACTTGGATCCATGGGATTTGTTAGTTGATGGCTACACTCACCCAGTAGATGATAAAGGTCAGAAGATTGTAAAAAGTGGAATGACAGAAGCACGAAAGAAAGCTTACAAGAATCATTACAAAACAAGAACTATTATGCTTAGTGCTATTTCATACAATGAATATGAGAAGATCACGGATAGAGAGACTGCAAAGTCTATCTTTGATTCTCTTCAGATGACGCATGAAGGCAATGCATAAGTAAAGGAAACAAAGGCTTTGTTCTTAATTCAAAAATACTAAGCCTTCAAGATAGAAGACGACGAATCTGTGGAAACGATGTTTTCAAGATGTCAGACTCTTGTGATAGGACTTAAGGTTCTAAATAAAAGTTACTCTACAACAGATCATGTTAAGAAGATTATCAGGAGTCTTTCCGTCAAATAGAGACCAATGGTAACTGCTTTAAAATTGGAAAAGGATCTGCACAACATGACTCTTGAGGAACTTATTAGTTCTTTAAGAAGTCATGAGATAAAGCTTAATCAAGATGAACCTCAAAAGAGGGTAAAATCAGTTGCTCTAAAGTCTACGTTTGGAAAGACCAAGGCTTATCAAGTTAAGGAAGAATCTGAAGAATCTGAAAAAGATTCAAATGATGAAGAACTTTCATTGATATCCAGAAGAATCAGTCAAATCTGGAAGCATAGACAAAACAAATTCAGAAGTCAACGAAGGACTTATGCAAGAGGTGAATCTACTTCTGGTCAGAAAAATGCTTCTGGAAAAGAAGTTACTTGTTATGAGTGCAACGAGCCTGGACATTACAAAAATGATTTCCCAAAGTTCAAGAAAGACAAGAAGCCTAAGAAGGCTTACAAAGCTAAGAAGGGTCTCATGGCAGCATGGGATGATTCTGAATCAGAAGATGAAGATTCTGATGAAGAGCATGCAAACGTGGTACTCATGGCCAGAACCAGCACAAATGAAGAAACATCAGAATGTAAGCTGACAGCAGATGATGAGTCAGACTCCGAAGATGAAGCTGAGGTAAATGCTTCTATTTCTCGTTTTCAACTTGAATCTTGTTTTTCTGAAATGGTGATAAAGTATCAAACTCTTCTAAGTAAATACAAAACTCTGAGAAAGAAATTTGTAGCTACTTCTGAAAACTCTATTAATGATGAGCAAAACGTTTCTAATTTAAATAAAAAATTATTTGTTTTAGAAAATTCAAATCTAGCTCTCAAAAGTAAAGTTTCTAAGTTGAAAGAAGAGATAATATCTACCACATCTATTAGTGATGAAGTAATAAGATATGATAGAGATTTTTAGCATTTCCTAACTAAGAACATAGATAGAAGCAAAATGGCTTCAATAATCTATAGTGTTAAATTATTTTATTATTAAATTATTCTCCATTCTCTATTTTTAATCTTATTCTCTATTTTTATTACTAAATTATTTTATAATAAAAAGGGAAAAAATAAAAACAAAAGAGATAAAAAAATAATAAAATATATAAAAAAGAGAATATATAATTTTAAATTCACATGAAATTACCGTCAACACAGTTTTTTCTCCTATTTTTATTTAAATAGATTGTTATTCACTTAGATTTGTTTTTGTTTTTTTTTGCTTTAAAATTTTCGTCGTCTTGTAGAATATTTATTAATTTTCAATTATAGTATGTTGTTTGTTAGTTGAAGACATATTCACTTTAATCCGTTACAGATTTGATGAAGACATATTTATATTTTATCATATTTGTAAATATTTTTATATTATCATTATGTACTATTAATTTAATATTATAAAATTGTTTACAAATTTATTTTTTTAATTTTTATAATTTTAAATGACAGTTTTTTCTCCTATTTTTATTTAAATAGATTGTTATTCACTTAGATTTGTTTTTGTTTTTTTGTGCTTTAAAATTTTCGTCGTCTTGTAGAATATTTATTAATTTTCAATTATAGTATGTTGTTTGTTAGTTGAAGACATATTCACTTTAATCCGTTACAGATTTGATGAAGACATATTTATATTTTATCATATTTGTAAATATTTTTATATTATCATTATATACTATTAATTTAATATTATAAAATTGTTTACAAATTTATTTTTTTAATTTTTTATAATTTTAAATTTGTAAGGATCGATGTATTTTTTAATTTAAATGAATAGAGAAAAAAACTAATCAAAGTTGTTTTTTTTTTCCCTCCGAGCATTAAACTCATCATTATACAATATTTTTCTACCAAGTTATTTTTAAAAGAAAATTTATGCCAAAATTATTGCGTTTGATGTTTATAATAATAAACACAAATTTCACATTGATTACCTTAATAATTACACCACACTGATATTTCCCTGTGAACACAAAATGTTTTTTCTTTTGTCCTAATACAAACATTTATATTATTTACTAATAAACTATTACTAATATTAATATTAATGTAGTTATACAAATTCTTGAAAAAATAGAAAATAGAAATCTATTTTATATTTCTATTGCTAAGTTAATTAACCACACAAACCATGGTGGTCTATGATCTTCCACGTTTGCAAACAGAACTGGGTTTCTGTGCTGGCGTACACATTTTCGAAGAAACTGGACACCCCTGTAGACAATTATCCCCCAAGCTACCGGAAACCGTAGCTCCGGCGGCCAACAACCCCGGCGGCGGATTCCCGACGAAGAAGTTCCCGTCCAAGAACAACCTCTTAATAGACTTGACCTCTCCGTACTCCAATGGTATATTCCCACGTAAAGAATTATAACGAATCGACAAAAACGACAGCATAGGATATGCAGCGAGATTCGCGGGCGCGGAACCTTGGATTTTGTTAAATCCGAGGTTCAATGCCACGAGGTTGCTTTCTTCAGGGTGAGCTGGTTTTGAGATCTGAATCGCTGTGAAGCTGTTGTTGGCTAAATTCACTTGCTGCAGAGAGGGTAGAAGCAAGAACCATGATTCGATTGTTCCGGTGAGTGAATTCTCGCTGAGTTCCACTACTGCTAGTTCGTTTGATCCGTCGAACGTTGTTTTTTGAAGTGGCCCGGATAAAGAGTTGTTCTTGATTGCGAGTTCGAGTAAGTTTGAAGGTAGTTTCGGGATTGAGCCGGTTAGTTTATTGAAGCTTAAATCGATTCTGCGAATGGTTGCAAGGGAATTTATCGAGTTTGGGATAGGCCCAGATAGGGAGTTATGTGAGAAATCTAGAGATTGGAGAGATTTGAGTTTGGTTATTGAGAGAGGGATTGATCCGGAGAAGGAGTTGGATCGGAGGGTTAAGGTTTTGAGATTTGCGAGGGAAGAGATTGAAGATGGGATTGAGCCAAAGAAATTGTTGTCGGAGAGGTCTAGTGTGATGAGTTGTGTGAGTTGAGAGATGAGTGGAGTGAGTGAACCTGAGTAACTTGCAGGGTCGAGTGTGATTTGGTTGATGTGTGTGGAATCGGTGGTGCAGGTGAATCCGCAGAGGAAGTAAATGCGGCGAGGGAGAGAGCATGGATCAATGGTGAAGTTCCATGAAGATATGCATGAGGAGGGTGGGATTGAAGAGGGTTTGATTGAGGCTTTGAAGGCTTTGAGAGCTTGAATGTCTGAGGATGAAGTGAGGGATTGTACATGGAAAATGGAGAGACAAATGGTGATAGTTAGGGAGAGGAATACGAGGTTTAGCATATTGAAGCCTTGGATTGTGTGTTTGTCTGAGTGAGATTCTAAAATGGAGTATGCATTATTGTCGGTTAACAGATGTATATAAAGGGAACGAGAAAACAAAATTCAAGCACAATTAGTTACAAGTTACCATATTTATATGTCTAAATAACACAGGCCAAACGAATATACACCATCATATCATAAATACATGTAATTGTTTTTCAATAATAACAACACGGAGAAAATCGACAAGTTCGAACCCACGGTATTATCTATAGAAGGCGAGGACTGTCATTTTCTTATACGGTGAAAGACATTGAGCTTTAAAGGCTGAATAAGAAATGGGGACAACATTGTTGACTAAAGTTGTTTGATTACAGGTGCACTGCACTCAGAATCTGAAAGTGAAACTTATCCAGCTCATTTTTGGGTTTTTATAATTCAACATTTACTTAAGTAGCTAAATTTTCTAGAAAATGATTTTTAGCAAACTCTAAGTAAAAATAATTAAAATACAAATTCTAGCTAAATAGATACTATATAGGGTGTGATGTCGGCTTTAGAAAACTAATGAATAAATTGTCTTATTAAGATTAGTTTTTTAATGACGAGTAATACTACTATGAGAATTATGGTTTTAAACTTTTGTAAGTATTGCTAAGTAAGTACTATGCATTTGTACTTTGTGATATCAGTTATACTAGAATCATTTTAGATTTTTTATTAAAAATATAAGCAATCTATCAGTTATAGCATGGAACACCATCATAGTTGGTGCATGATGGACAATCTTTAATGATCTTGTTATGGAGCATAGTAGTTGCACTTGCACTTGCACTTGGAGCGAAGACGTCGGCAACTGAGTGGGGTTGATAGAGTCTAGTAGAAGTCACATCGTCATTCTAAATTTTTTATTTTCCTTTTTAGAACTAAACATTTTTATAAAAATGAATGTTAGTGTTGGGTTGATAGAGTCTAGTGTAAGTACGAAATGTGTCTAAGAGGGAGAGTGAATTAGATATTTTAAAAATATTTTCGATTTTAGTGATGATTGATATTATTTTTCTAGTTTATGGTGAGTTTATGAAAGAATAAAGTGCAGAAAAATAAAGAGACACAAGCGATATATTTTAATTCCCCTCACAGTCCGAGAGTACTTCAGTCCCCTTTCAACATGAAAGAGATTTCCTTATAGTGGCAAACCTAAAACAAGAACTACCAAAACCAAGAACAATTCTCTTGGACCAAGAACAATTCTCTTGGACCAAGAACAATCCTCTTGGATTTTCACTATGTCAACAATGAAAACAATCCTCTCAAGGTGACCTTACTTGTATCCAACAATCCTGGAAAAACAAGATTACAAAATCACTTGAACTTATTTTCAACAATCCTAAAAAATAAGAAAGTGTATAGCAATATTTAATTGATAGAGTTTGTAGTGTAATAATCACTTTGAATGATTTTATCAATGACTTGATCATCTCTTCCAATAGCAATAATATACAATGACTCAAGACTATAGAATGCTCAAATTTTTCTGTTTAACAATATATGAAAATGTGCAGAAAAACTTTGTGTATGAAAGTGAAGAAAAAACTTGAGTTTTAATATTTTAAAATTCATAAACTATTGATTAGAAGAGGTACAAAATGATTTTGAAAATTCAGTATTTATATGTTCATAGCACCTCTTTGAAACAACATAAATTTCTGCAAATGAATCATGAACAATTGCCAAGATTCAATGAAAAGTTTCCATGAAATGGTGTTATGAAAAGGTATGTCCAAAGCTGCCGATTTTCAAAAACTTTCAGCATGCAATCGATTGCACCCTTGTGTAAATCGATTGCACGGGTTTTAACAGCTAAACAATTCAAATATTTTCAGTGAGCAGTCGATTTCACATGTGTGTAAATCGATTACACTTTAAAACAGTAGCAAAATTTGATTGAGAGCAATCGATTGCACAAACATGCAAATCGATTGCACTTAGAAACAGTAGCTAACACTTTGAAAACGTGAAGCATGCAATCGATTGCACCAACATGCAAATCGATTGCACATAAGTGAAAATTGATTTTTTGCTTAGAAAACTCTGTAAGTATGAGAGTGCGCCTAAGAGGGGGGGTGGGGGTGGGGTGAATTAGGTACTTTAAAAATTCTGCCGTTTTAGTGAGATGGATATTATTTTTCTGGTTTAGTGCATGAGTTTACAATTGTGTTTCTTTCTTTTCTGGTTTATGACTAGTGATGAAAGCGGTAAATGCGAAAAAGTAAAGAGCACAAAGATGTATCCTGGTTCCCCTCACAGTCCGAGAGTATTACAGTCCCCTTTCAACATGAAAGAGATTTCCTTATTGTTAGATCTCTAGACAAGACACCATAGTCCTTCTATACAAGTCTCTAACCAATAAAACCACCAAGAACAATCCTCTTGGACCAAGAACAATCCTCTTGGATTTTCACTAAGTTACCTATGAGAACAATCATCTCAATGTAACTACACTTGTATCCAACAACTTGGAAAGACAAGATTTCAACAAAAACACTTAAACTTAATTCTAACAATCCTGGAAAATAAGTAAGTAAATATCAACTTGTGAGTTTGAGTGAGTAGAGTAATATTGATCACTTAGAGTGATTTGACAATGTATAATCTTCTTCTTTCAATAATAATATTGTACAAAGACTCAAGATATATTTGCTCAAAGTTTTCTGTTTGTTAAGGTATGAAAATATGCAGAAAACTTATGCATGAAAATGAAGAATGCTTGAGTTTGTATTTTTAAAATGTCAGAAAATATTTATGAAAGAAGGTGTTAGATATGGATTTGAAATTGAATATTTATATGTTCATAGCACCCTTTTGAAACATCATGAAGATATAGAAATGTATCATGAACAAATGCCAAGTTTGAGTGAAAAGATGTAATGAAAAGGCATGATGAAAAGGTATGAACAAAGCTGTTATTTTTCAAATTCGTGCAGTATGCAATCGATTGCACCCTTGGTGTAAATCGATTGCACAAGGTTTTTAACAGATATTTTTTTCAAAATCTTAAAGAGTGCAATCGATTGCATTAACAATGTAATCGATTGTATGCAAAGTCAGTAGCAAAAATTAACTGAGTGCAATCGATTGCACTAACAATGTAATCAATTGCATGCAAAGTCAGTAGCAAACATTTTGAAAATTTTAAGTATGCAATTGATTGCATAGGTAATGTAAATCGATTTCACAAAGAAACAGAAGCAAAAGATCTGAAATTTTGAAGTGTGCAATCGATTGCACTAAGATGTAAATCGATTGCATGCAGAAGAAAAATGAAATTTTATCTTTGAAAAGCTTGAGTAATGATTCTTAAACATTTCTTTTTCATTTTTGAGCATCTATATCTTAAGATCAAAGTAGATAATATTATTACACCTTTAAAGTTGTTGAGAGCTTTGAATGAAGATATTATCCTTAGATGCTTAGATGCTTGATGCTTGATCACAAATCTTTGCCTTCTTTATTAGCCATGGTTTGTCTTCATCAAAACAAAAGCTTATTTGTGAAGCTTGATTTTACAAACTTGAGAAAAAGTTTGGACAAGATAAAACACTTATTTTGATCATTGAGCATTTAAGACTTAAGTTCAAAGTAAGTATTGTCATTATACCTTGTGAAATATGCTAAGAACTTGAGACAAAGTCTTTTATCCAATGATGCTTTTAGCTTGATCAAAATCTTTGCCTTCTTGCCAATACAGTTTGTCTTCATCAAAATAAAATTCATTGAGAATTATTTGAGAAGCTTGATATTACATCTAGTAGATGTCACATCGTCATTCTAAATTTTTTATTTACCTTTTTAGAACTTAACATTTTTATAAAAATGAATGTTAGTGTTTATTTCTATATTAGATAAATAACGTTGGTCTCTTTAAAACAAGTTTACAGGCGATATCGATTAGAGAATCTCAGTACAATGCTTCAGTTTGAGTGTTGTTTACTGTGAAAATTGGTAAACAACCGTTAGTTCTCCCTAAGCCTAAAACTAAGGGTTACTCGCAGGACCAACTAGTTAATCCTAATATATGTGCTAATAGGATGAAATGGGGTTTGTTCTTTCGACGCGACACCTCACTTTGTGAGAAAAGGTTTTCTCTAAACAAAGGGAACAAGTAAAATTTTTCCACAAATATGCTATGAATTGACCAACTGAATGTGACATGTGATCGGAAGAAGACTAAGACTTGTCCTAAACGAAGTAAATGTCGAGTGAACTCTCAGTGAATTTTAGTATCGTAATGGAACAAGATTCAATAACGTAAATGACAATATAAAAAGATTATTCAAAAGTAAATAAGATTCAAGTAAAAGATTTAAAGGATGCAACTGAAAAGAAAGGAGTTTGCATTGAAATAATTGTGGTGATTCACGTATATTAACACTTTTGAACTCTTGCTTCCTTACGCTTGGAAATATAGAGTTTTCCAAGTGATTTTAGTACAAAATGAACATGTTGAATCCTATATTAGACCCTCTTATTTATAGTAGTTACATAATAACTAAACATGCACGTCAATGTAATACTAATTTGACACTTATGTGGATTAATAAAACTACCTCCTCAGATTTAGCCACGTAGTTGGCGCCTTGATCAGGAAAATTTTTGCAACCGCTGTAATATTCAAATTTCAAAATATATCTCGCCTATAGATTTTGATTCGACATCAACCTTTGTCGTGAACAAATATCCCAAATTATCTAAGTCTTGGATTCCACTTTTGTCGACGGAACTAAAGTCGACTGACTTGTTATTTCCTTTGTCGACTACTTGCTCTTTTGTTCGTCGATCTCTCTTTGATTCTTTATAAGAACTTTCCAGCTATCATTTTCTTGACTCTAATTAAAGTCCTTACTCCTAGAAGACACTTTCCATTCAGTTCACAGAAATTTTAAGGTAACAAAATACTCCCCAAAGATGCCATTTTCGAATTCGACAAATATGAGGTAATGGCATCTCTGAATTGT